GGCAAAAGGGGGTCCAACCCGTTACTAGCGTGGTGTACCTAATAAAGTGGCCGGTGAGTGTATATAATATGTATGTGTAACAGAAAATGGTTACCTGTCAGGTAAAAAAAAGGCCTTTTTCATGTTAATTTTTTTTAAATTTTGGATTTAATGCTTGCACAGATAAAATGTGTCTCTTTTATTTTCTTTAAGATGTGCAACACAGAATCTAAAATCAAATAAAATCATTAGATATTGATCTCAGCTTTGGGTGTTTGACTGAAGCGTAGAATGTTCACAGTAATTGATGCACTTGTTTGTGCTTTCTTTGAACTGTTGAATGTCATTTTAAGCTAAAAATATATATATACACAATAGTGTCAATTCTTAGAAAAGGCTCAGCTTTTGTCCTGAAGGTGTAGACTAATTCCAGGTATGTTTAGAGCAAGTTTCAAACTGGTCACAGAACCCCTCTGGGTCGAACTGGAAAGAAAAAAAAAACCCATGAAAACATGATAGGGATGAAGAGAAAAGTAGAGATATTTACAATGCAATAGAGTTTAAAAAACAGCAAAATATTCAGATTGATTATTGATTAACCTTCTTTTCTTCAGCATTTGTTCTTTTTGGACAAATCAGTAAACTTTTCTTCAATCTGCAGCTGATAATATCTCCGCTATCGTTCAAGGTAAATGCAAAGTTCAAAGAATGTCAGAAGTGTTTGCAAAGCCTTGGGTGTACACATTAGCTCTGCAGCAATTAGTATCTTTTTTTTTCCCTTTTCATTTTGGACTTATCTTTATTTCTGCTGATAAGCAGAAGCTGATTCATGAGTGTCAAAGGGTTCTGGTCGCCACCTTGACGACCACAGTTTGAATTTTTCTATGTTTCAGAGTGTGTATGCTGTGTGTGAAAAGGTTTTTATCAGAGACTTATGTTTGAGTAATAACAATAAATCAACTTGGGGCTTGTTTTTGTAGCCATGTCGCACTCGGCGTAGGTGTGTTTTGTGTTGAACGGGCTTATAAAACTATTACTACATTCCGTTTGTTTTCTTGTCTGCTCATGTCTCATCTTTAACCACACCCGTAAAGGGTTTTTATAGTAACAGCTTATGGATCTGTGTTACTGAGTTCTTTTGACACAGACACATGAAGGTCTATGGGCCACTTGTGCACTCAGATTATTTATACTATCATAAAATATATTGACTTAATGGTTTATACAGTATTTGATGAGTAAACCTGTTCCCATTTGTTCAGGTCTGATTAGGAAATTGTTTAATTACATTTTTTTATGAAATGCAGGCATGCACTCAATTTAAACAAACTTGTTTGAATCTGCCACAACGCAACATGAAAGCTTGGGTCACATTATTAACCTACCTTAAGCCAATTGTCTGCGTATGTCAACAAAATTGATAGAATTAGACAAGGGGATGTTCATGTGGAAATATAAGACAAAAATAAAATCAAAGTTTATCAATTAGTAAGATAGCTGTCAGAAACAAATGTTGGGGATCAAGCAGGAGGGTGGAACAGCATAAAAAATACTCAGCCATTTGTTATATTAAAAAGGTTTTCTAAAACTGATTTGTTTACATGTCAAAGCAATAAAACAATAAAAATCAGCAGATGAGATCTCCGAGAGCAGCTTTCTTGTAAAATGTCACTCAAAACCCTGCAAAACTTTTTATCGAGCACATTGTTAAAGAAATGCATTTCTATTGACAAAGTGAGAGAAAAAAGCACCAATTTCAGTACAATTTGTCTGTCTTTTAACAAAGCCCTTTTTGCACCGTGCCTGTCTGTTGCTTTGTAATTATTTACCAACGACGAGGTGCATTAAGACGTTCAGGTGAGTTTGATTTTCTCACAGGCTGATAACTACCGGCCCGTGAAATTCCTCAGAGTTCACAGGCTTTCTGAGTCGGGCCCGTTTGTGGAGGAACACCTTCGGTTGTTGGCGT